AATATTGTGATTTATTATTGTAATATTTGTTCACAGACCTTAGTTCAAATGATATTTTTATATGTTGGTGTAACAATAAAGAATCCACGAGTCACCAATTGGTCTTTTGGTTTTTTCGTCCGTTATAACTAAGCGTTTCTGAAAAACTTCAAGGAACCGCGTGGGCCCGAGCGTAGCAACAGCTGGGCATTAACGGTTTATGAGACGTGGCTGACAGTTTCTGATGGAAGAAACAGATTCTGGCGGATTCAGACAGTTGGTGAAAGTTTGGATAGTTACCGTTCATCTTTCCTGGTGCCGGTCAAGTCCTCTTTGAACAAGCAATATCTGGAACTTTTTTGGAATTGAGTCAAGTTCAACCATGCCTGGGTCAAAGAAGGGACAGAGCGTCTTGGATGCAAACAGGAAAGTAAGTCATGGTGACTTGTCTGTTAATTGTAACGATGTGTCTGATGTTAAGCATGGCATGGTTGATGTTACTGTTTCGCCGTTCAGGGATAATAGGAACATCAAACTCCCTAAATTTGAACCACGGTGTTTCGACGGAAACCCGGCTGATTATTTACAATTTGTAAAGGAGTTTGAGATCATGTTGAGTAGTTTTTTATTAAGTGATGAATTGAAATTGATGTATTTGTTGAGGTATTGCAGTGGAGATGCTTCAAGAGCTATACAGTGCTGTAAGCTCATGCCCCCTAATGAGGGATACGCTGAGGCTATGAGCATATTACGTCAAAGGTTTGGAAGACCTTCAATGATTGTAAGGAACGTATACGAAGCTGTCAAAGGTAACGGCAGTCAACTTCAAGATGACTCCAAGGCACTTACTGAGTTTTTAGATAATCTTATGACTTATAAGAATACCTTGATTTCTATGAATTGCATGAATGACCTCAACTCGAGTTTTATACTAGAAGTAATAGCGAGACGCCTGCCTACTCGACTGCAAAGGAAGTGGGTGAAGATAAGCTCCCGTATGGAGGATGAGGGTATCGAGCCAAAATTTGATGTTATCCTGAAACTAGTAAAAGATAGTGTCAATCAATCGATGAGCAAGTTTGCCAGCATATTGAATCTCACCCCTAGAATAGAGCAGTCTGAGGGTAAAACGCAATCATTGATGACGAAAGGGCCTCAGAGAGGTGGATATCGAGAAGGCTCCATGATGTCTAGTAATGCATATAGATCTAGTGAGTGTAACAGGTTTCGTAGTACATCCTCAACAGATAAGTTGCAAGATGCAAGACAAACACGGTTGTGTTGTACACGTTTGCAAGAGGTGCATAGAAAAGTGAACTGTGAACCAGTGAGCAAGTTCAGTGATAAGCTAAATGTGAAATCCAGGCCTGACTCCGAATTGTGTGACGATAACGGTGTGGTCAAGAAGTCTGTAGTTGCAACTGGTAAGCCATTGTTGAATAGAGTGTCACAGAATAGAGTTGCTGCTTCAGAGTGCAGTTCTGACTCCACAAGTTTACAAGGTATTACTAGTCAGAGTGAAGTTATAAAACCTTTTAGGATTTGCGAGGAGGAACCAAAATTGTCTACTTCTGTTATTAAAGAGTTTGAAAATGATGAAGTTGACGGTAAAGTGAATATTCGTGATAATGACCATGATACTTCACAGTTGTCTTTGGTTGATCATGATGAGATGAGGGATATGCCTACTACTGCTAAGTTGAACAAAGGTTCTGTACAACTTGAACGTGAAGTAGAAATAAATGCAGATGCAGTTGCAGAAGGCATGCATACTTGTGAGACCGTCAGTGTGAGTGATCAGCATGTAGCCCACCTATCATCAGATGCCAGTGCTAAACCTGAGATGATAGTAAAAGACAGCAGTGGTGGTGGTCTTGCAGGTAGACAAATTTCTGAAAGCCGAGCAACAACAGCTTTTGATCCACCGCTAAGTTCATCAACTGGTGTCAATCAGTCGTCGTTGGTGTTGTCATCCACAATGAAACAGACGCCCATCAACTCATGTACATTGCATAATGACTATAAAAATATTGGCGCATTTATAATGAAGGGTATCATGATCATTAACACGAATATTCACTTTACCGTCAACTTCATCATTTTCAAACTCTTTAATAACAGAAGTAGACAATTTTGGTTCCTCCTCGCAAATCCTAAAAGGTTTTATAACTTCACTCTGACTAGTAATACCTTGTAAACTTGTGGAGTCAGAACTGCACTCTGAAGCAGCAACTCTATTCTGTGACACTCTATTCAACAATGGCTTACCAGTTGCAACTACAGACTTCTTGACCACACCGTTATCGTCACACAATTCGGAGTCAGGCCTGGATTTCACATTTAGCTTATCACTGAACTTGCTCACTGGTTCACAGTTCACCTTTCTATGCACCTCTTGCAAACGTGTACAACACAACCGTGTTTGTCTTGCATCTTGCAACTTATCTGTTGAGGATGTACTACGAAACCTGTTACACTCACTAGATCTATATGCATTACTAGACATCATGGAGCCTTCTCGATATCCACCTCTCTGAGGCCCTTTCGTCATCAATGATTGCGTTTTACCCTCAGACTGCTCTATTCTAGGGGTGAGATTCAATATGCTGGCAAACTTGCTCATCGATTGATTGACACTATCTTTTACTAGTTTCAGGATAACATCAAATTTTGGCTCGATACCCTCATCCTCCATACGGGAGCTTATCTTCACCCACTTCCTTTGCAGTCGAGTAGGCAGGCGTCTCGCTATTACTTCTAGTATAAAACTCGAGTTGAGGTCATTCATGCAATTCATAGAAATCAAGGTATTCTTGTAAGTCATAAGATTATCTAAAAACTCAGTAAGTGCCTTGGAGTCATCTTGAAGTTGACTGCCGTTACCTTTGACAGCTTCGTATACGTTCCTTACAATCATTGAAGGTCTTCCAAACCTTTGACGTAATATGCTCATAGCCTCAGCGTATCCCTCATTAGGGGGCATGAGCTTACAGCACTGTATAGCTCTTGAAGCATCTCCACTGCAATACCTCAACAAATACATCAATTTCAATTCATCACTTAATAAAAAACTACTCAACATGATCTCAAACTCCTTTACAAATTGTAAATAATCAGCCGGGTTTCCGTCGAAACACCGTGGTTCAAATTTAGGGAGTTTGATGTTCCTATTATCCCTGAACGGCGAAACAGTAACATCAACCATGCCATGCTTAACATCAGACACATCGTTACAATTAACAGACAAGTCACCATGACTTACTTTCCTGTTTGCATCCAAGACGCTCTGTCCCTTCTTTGACCCAGGCATGGTTGAACTTGACTCAATTCCAAAAATGTTCCAGATATTGCTTGTTCAAAGAGGACTTGACCGGCACCAGGAAAGATGAACGGTAACTATCCAAACTTTCACCAACTGTCTGAATCCGCCAGAATCTGTTTCTTCCATCAGAAACTGTCAGCCACGTCTCATAAACCGTTAATGCCCAGCTGTTGCTACGCTCGGGCCCACGCGGTTCCTTGAAGTTTTTCAGAAACGCTTAGTTATAACGGACGAAAAAACCAAAAGACCAATTGGTGACTCGTGGATTCTTTATTGTTACACCAACATATAAAAATATCATTTGAACTAAGGTCTGTGAACAAATATTACAATAATAAATCACAATATTACTTCTGATGGTTTTCTGCTGACTTCTTTCTGAACAGCGACCGATGAGACGATGACTGTCGTATTGATGCCTCCGCGAAAATTGGGGAAGTTGGTTTCGAGCAAACAACCATGAATTGATCGTTCGATCTTCAACTACATTGACAACCTCACAATCAAGAAGCGAGCACAAAGAAATCGAACTGGTTTATAATAGCTCGTAAAAACGATACTGGATATTGAGCCATTATTGTTAATTGTTATCGTATAGGGTCTTTAGGTGAATTAAGAATCTTTTCTGTCGTCAGAAAAGATCTTTGTCTGCAATTGTTTTCCATGACTGCGTTGAGATTTTCTGGTACACCGAATACGTATTCACAAAAATAACGTGAACATTTACGTGTTCCCAGCAATTTTGTATTGTTTTTTTGTCGGAAAACACCTAAGTTCCCGCCATAGAACGACAGGTGTGCGAACTGTTTCGATTTTTAGTTTTTCAAATCGGTTTATTACGTATTTCAAACAAACCTATTTGATCTCTCAAAAATGAAAGTTTTCACGATTCTGGCGTTTTATAATGAATCTATATAGTTGCTGCCTACTCAGCATATTGCTTCCAATATTCACATCTTATACACGTTGGTGGCACAGCGGTTGGGACGCTCGCCTACCATGCACATGGTCCGGGGCTCGATACCTGGCCGACGCACACCTTTGCCTTGCCAAGCTAGAAACGATGCCCTTAAAGAGGAAAGGTTGGGTATGAGGCTAGCAACCCCATCATGTAAAATTAAACACTGCTACAGAAACTTCAAGTCACTTGCTTGAAGCCCTATGTTACACTGGGAACGTGAAGGAAAAAACAATACACGTCCAAGGTTTCTGATTTGACAGATCGATTTTGATTGCTGTGATTTTATTCAAAATACCATACTATGGATTCCACTGGATTCTTTTCTCTCTACCTTTTTTTCTTTATGTATTTATTTTTGTTATGTGCTGTTTTGCTGCTCTCTTCCTTACAAACTCTACTTAAAACTTTCTTGTTTGTTCTTTCACACTCTGTATATCTCGACCATTTTGCTGTCACCTACGCCAGTAAATATGCTAGTAGTATCTACCTTTCTAACACCTTCAAACACTCTGTTTAATTTTGGCTTTACCTCCGACATGCTTATATGTTGTCGTCAAAACTGACTGAGATAACTTTTATGTATGTAGAACTTTATTTATTGTTAATGTACTAACTGGATGCAATATTGTAGTAAAATGCTGAGAAGTCCTTTCTGTATCACAAGTACTGTTTTGGAATAAAGCTATTATCTTATCTTTTCTTCCGTCTCTCTGTCACCTCATTTCAAAGTTTTAATGTGTTACTTTGGATAATAGTAAAGGTTATTGGAGCGCGCTCCTTGAATAAGACGTGCTACTTCTGTAGCAACATCCTCACTCTTTCAAATATACAGGACTTGTGGGTCTGTTACGTGATTGCTGTGAAGCCGAATAACCCGAAAGTTACAGGTAAAGTCAAAAGCTTTTACTTAAATACTTTATCCTTCTTTTCTGTGCTCTCTATTGTCTTTTGCTGTAAGTCTATTGGACAAAATAACAGTCTCATTATTTAATCACCAGTATTAATTTAGGAGTAAAATGACAATAGATTCTCAACCTAAAATAAGTAATGGGACATCATACTCTGTAGTTACCAGGGCTTCAGCCAAACTAGGCAAACAGGTGAAGCTGATGGACTCACGCATACCGGTCTTGAAGACCAGGGCAAATATTCCCAGCTCGTACAGATTACCCATGTCGCCACAGTCCTACAGTGAAGCTGTGCAAAGTCAGCCAAGTGGATGTGGCTCCACCCCTGTTAACACGACTAGGTTAACAGATCCGAGTGGGAAAATTGCACTAAGTGAGAACTTCATAACACCCATCCCCATGGTAGACCATGAAACAAATAGGAAGGCCAAAAAGAAACGTTCACGACGTCGCAAGACGACAAAACGCTCCCCAAGAAGGCAGACGACTGCAAGGTCTGCGCTTCTGTTGTCGAACAAGCAGACTCTGCTTTCGAATGTAACTTTTGCAAGCGATGGGTGCATTGCAGATGCGACAGTGGGGTACCAAAAGCATATTATGACTTTATGCGTAAAAACCCATGCCAATGGTTCTGGTACATATGCCCGAGTTGCCGTCCTGATGTAGCCTCGCGTAGTCCTTTGAAAACTAAAGTTGGCACAAAAGTAGCAGGGAAAAAGGTGAAATGTTCGACCCCCACAATCCGGAAGTTAGTACAAACGCGCGTAAACCGGGGATACCAAAATCCTCACCGGTTAAACTTGTAACTCTTGACATAACCGCTCCAGACACAGAGGCTGGAGAACCACGGGTTTCCGTCGTTGGAAAAAGACCCCAATCGTCTGCCAGTAATGCTGGCCATAGCACTGAGACACATAAAAATACCCAGTCGCACCAGACAAACCAAAACGGTCTTAAAGGGATCACAAATGTGCGAGGACCGAGCCCAAGCCCACGGTTAGTAGATCAAATTGTGTAATCCTCTTTAATGTACCAGACTGTAGTAGTAGTCTGCTGAAAGATAGGGCCCTATTTGATCAGGAACAGTGGTCCATCTTGTGTAGCACACTGGGTTTGGACATCCAACCAGTAAATCTATGCAGATTGTATAGGGGCACTGCTGCACCTGAAGGCAAACCATCCCCACTGAGGGTAACATTGGGCTCTACCGAGGATGTTGAAAAAGTGTTACTGGCTTCTCAAGTCCTTTCTATAGGGAGGGCCTGTAACATACGTGTTAAGCCAGACAGGCCGTGGAAGGAAAGACAAATGGCGAGGGAGTCGCCAGAGCTCATTCCTTCTGCCTCCATGGTTGTGCATGGCATTCCCGAACTGGTAACTGGGAACGCCTGCGAAAAGCATTGTCATGATGTACAACAATGGAGATGGTTGGCATCCCAGATGGCCCTGGGGAGTTCAGGGGCTGTCTCTATTTATAGACTGCCTCGACCCACTCATCTTATGTCAATTAACTCGCCACGTCTGTTAGCTGTCAAGTTCAGCTCCCAAGACCAGTTGACTACCGCTCTCCATAGATGGTACGAGACCAAGGACAAGGTCAGCAAACACATTCGCTGCTGCGAGAGCCGGCCTCGCACTCAAAGGAGAGAACAAAGCGTAGTAAAAAAAATCCTCAACCCCTAGTCACACTACAGCGGTGCAGCACGGACGATGATAGCCCGAGTGCTCCGACTGAACTAGAAGAAAAAAACGCCAACAGGCCGGTTCCTGGGGAATCGGCCAACTAGTTCGTAGGATAACTCCTCAACCGATAGCCAATATCAAGTCAACTACCCCCCAATACGGGGAAGTGGTGAGACTGACTACCAGTTGCCTGTACAGTAATGTGAGAGGGCTAAGAGGCAAAATAGCTGAACTTAGACACCTACAATCACAACTGAACTCCAAAATCATAATACTGACGGAAACCTGGCTAACCCCTACGGTGGCAGACAGCGAAGTCAGTATAAATGATATGGTCCTAGTCAGGCGAGATAGGGACCTGAAAGAAGGAGGTGGAGTCGCCATATACGTCGACAAACAGCTCAGATGTGTTCACGCGATGGACCCTCCCCTCACAGAGCTCCCTGACTCCATATGGTGCCACTTCACCGTTGGGTACTGCAAATATCTAGTGGGCAGCATTTATCGATCACCTTCATGTGGAGCAGACCACAACCAGGTACTGCTAAATACAATCTCAGCAACTCAAGACATGGGTTATGATCAAATTGTCATAGCTGGTGACTTCAATGCCCCATCTCTTAACTTGGTGTCGGGAAAAGCCCATGATAGATTTGATCGAAATCTGCTGCATACCATCAGGAAGGCTGGATTCACTGAAAATGTCAAGATGGATACTAGATGGGGCCCTGATGGGAAGTCTTCTAGACTGGATTACGTGCTCACTAGTGACCAGCTACTAGTGGAAAACGTTCAGATCACGACTCCCATAGGTAGTAGTGACCACGCGGTCATAGTATTCGACATAGTCCTCCGCGAGCGCTTACAGTGGGACAATACACAGCCCTATCTGTGTTATAACAAAGCCAACTACCAAAATGCGAAGACTTCTGTCTGAAGCAAATTGGCCTAAAAAATGGACAGAGCTAACAGTAGAAGAACACTGGAGAGTGGTAAAGGAGATCATTCACCAGGCGGTCTCAGACACTGTTCCTTTAGTCACACCAAAAGCTAGGAAGCAACGATCATGGCTAAAAAGGGGGACACAACGCCTTCTGCAGGCAAAAGCCTGGTTTGCGTGGCGACGATCGAAGAGTCAACCCGAACATGAAGTGTACCTTGAACTCAGGAATCGATGTAACATACGAGTCCGGAGCGATAGAAGGACATTTCAGGGAAACCTCGCCAATAAGCTTCTCGTGAACCCCAAAAGCCTATACAGGTTTATGTCCGAAAGAAAACCGACCAACCAGGGAGCATGCAATCTAGTGGGTTCTGATGGGAAATCTCTTACTAGTCTTGAAATGGCAGAGACATTCAGCCTAGCCTTTCACAGGCAACTAAACAGTAACGAGGATATTACCCCACAGAACATCCAGATTACATCGCAAACCAACACGCGAAAACCTGCTGGGTACATTTCAAATTACCCCGGCTATGGTACTTGCAAAATTGGGAAGGTTGGCTTCGGGAAAGTCTTCAGGTTGTGATGACATCAGACCATCTGTCCTGAAGCAGTGTTCAGAAAGTCTCTGCCAACCCCTAAGTGATCTGTTCCAACACTCCCTTGATGTAGGGAAACTTCCATGTGAATGGAAACGAGCAATCCTATCCCCTATCTTCAAGGGTGGTGACCGGCAGAATGTGACCAGTTACAGACCAGTTGCTCTACTTCCAGTGATCGAAGATATTGGAAAGTCTCATTGACGACCACATGAGAAAATACTTCGATGGGACTAACCTTCTTCACGAAGCACAGCACGGTTTCAGGAGGGGAAGATCCTGCGTGACGAATCTTCTACTAGCTTGGAACGATTGGACACTATCCTGGGACAAAAAGGTACCAGCCCACGTGATCTTTCTCGACTTTGCGAAAGCATTCGACACAGTTCACCATGGTCTGCTCCTTCACAAAATAAGCAAGGCGGGTGTTTCTGGAGCACTTCTCGCATGGCTGAAAGATTACTTAGGCGAGAGAGAATTCTGCACCAAAGTCAACCGCATCCGATCATCCTGGCACACCTCGGCATCAGGGGTTCCTCAGGGTTCTATCCTAGGGCCGTTGATGTTTTTGATTTTTATCAACGACCTGCCCCCCAACTAAACTGCTCTGCGCTTCTTTACGCTGACGACGTAAAGATTTGGAGAGCAATAAACTCATCGGAAGACTCAGATAGATTGCAGGCTGACCTGCAAACTCTGGGAAACTGGGCTCTGGCTAACGGAATGCCTTTCAACCTAAAGAAGTGCAAAGTAGTGCAACTTCATTCCGGCAGGTCACAGAGTGTAAATTACACCCTTGGTGGCCAGAACTTGAGTTGTGTTCCATCAGAGCGTGATCTAGGTCTTATTCTAACAGAAAAGCTAGACACCAGTGGAAATTACTCGAGGGACGTCGCCAAAGCCTACGCAACTTTACACTTTATGCACAGGCAGCTGGGAGCTCTCACTCCCGAACTGTTCTTAAGGTTATATAAGGCATATGTGAGGCCACACCTTGAGGTGCATAATATCATTGCACCTCCGCTACTCAAAAGGGATGCTAACATTCTAGAAAGTGTCCAGAGACGAGCGACAAAATGGGTGATCGGCCTCCGCAACAAATCATATGAGGAAAGACTAAAGAAATTAGGTCTTTTCACACTTAGTTACCGTAGGCACAGGGGAGACCTCATCACCGTCTACAAGATCCTAAATGACCAGGCCCACCCAAATAAAAGCATCCTGCCATTAAGTGATTATAGGCTTCCACGAGGTAACCCGCTAAGGATAGCACACCAGAGACCAAAGACTCGAGTGCGATCACATTTCTTTTCGCTTCGTGTTTGCCGTCTCTGGAACGCTTTACCGGCGGCCGTGACTACAGCGCCATCTCTGGAGATTTTTAAGCGGAAGCTAGACAATCATGCAGAAATGCAAGGTTTGTGTCTCAATGGCTTATCCTCATAAAACTTAAACCACACTGTCAATGGATAAGCGTACAAACTAAATCCCCACGACCTATTCTGCCTTCTCTCACTCTATCTTTTCCTTAGGTCACCTTTATTATTCCACTTATCTCAACCTATATTATCTACACTACAACCATTATTTTTATTATTATTATTACTACTATTCTGCTTTTATGACTACACCGAATGACCAACGGGAGTTAGGTCAAACTCCATTCACGGCAGCAATACAGTCCTAACATACTGCATACTACAAACCACATCTCGACCAATCCCCGCACCACTCCTCTTGGAGTCTACCAGAGCTAAAGCAGTCGAGTGGCGGAACTTACTACGCAGAAGCTCACCGAAGATCTGGAACCTCTACCTCACAATCAAGAAGCGAGCTCAAAGAAATCACTGGTTTATACTAGCTCGTAATCAGGATATTGGATATCGAGTCACTGCAGCATATTCGTTTGCGTTTTCTAGTGGGCAGTAATAAGACTACCTTGAATCTAGGTGATTAATTAGTCTTGTCTATTTAAATACACGAACAAAGAAAAAAGAGACATTGGGGCAGAATAATCTGGATCCATTTTATTTCGTTGGTTCTCATCAGTGAAGAGATAAGTTAACAAATTTCGAAAAAATGTTATTAAGAAGTGAGTCTCCGGGGTTCGATACCCCGCCGACGCACACCTTTGCCTCGCCGAGCCAGAAATGATGCCCTTAAAGAGGAAAGGTTGGGTATGAGGCTAGCAACCCCATCATGTAAAATTAAACACTGCTACAGAAACTTCAAGTCACTGGCTTGAAGCCCTATGTTACACTGAGAACGTGAAGGAAAAATTATTATTAAGAAGTGAGTCAACAGGGTAATTGAAGTCCAACAACGGATTCTTTGTGGACAGGCTTCAATCGTTTTATTGCTATAGCTTCAGCAAACCTGAGAAGACTTTAGGTACTTTGTGTGTTCAATATTTTGAATGATTCCAGCACATCTACTCGGTGTCCTGTGTCAATCAGGTGTTTGACGATTGAAGAGTTCAGACAATTCGGTCCTATTAGCTGGAGGGTCCTTGGTACATGTTCGCAGAATCTGACGTAGACCCTTCCGTCTGTTCTTCCAGTGTAACTGTTCCAGCAGATAGATCTGATTTGATATGCACAATTGGCCGTAACATGTGAGGGGTAACTGTCACTCTTTGACTGCACCAGTGAAGAGGTTGTTCGGGGTAGAGAAATTAATAACGTTGCAGGATACATCCTAGACAGGGCTGCGCTCAATCTTTTATTTACCACTCTCATAATGTCGTCGCCCTTGTAGTCGAGTTTCATGAAAATAGGCTTCTTACTGACTACAGCTGTATCAAGCTTCTTGAGTTCATTCTTGCTATATCTGTTAATGAAACTTCATGTGTAACCATTTTCTTTCAGGCATTTTTTAAGAAGCATTAGTTCACTCTAGTTTGTTTGGGGAACATATTCTCTTCGCTCTAGAGAATAGCGTTTTCACCAGCGTTCGTTTGTATCTCATTGGTCAGAAGCTGTGGAAATTCAAGTAAAGACCACTCCATGTGTCTTTATGATATACAACCTACGGTTAAAGGGACCGAATTCTTTAAGCTTTTCAATCGCCAAACACCTGATTGACACAGGACACCGAGTAGATGTGCTGGAATCATTCAAAATATTGAACATACAAAGTACCTAAAGTCTTCTCAGGTTTGCTGAAGCTATAGCAATAAAACGATTGAAGCTTGTCCAAAAAGAATCCGCTGTTGGACTTCAATTATCCTGTTGACTCACTTCTTAGTAACTTTTTTTTTAAATTTGTTAACTTATCTTTTCACTGCCCCCTCCTTTATTTTCCGCTTGGCTCTCTTAAGAGATAATTTTTCTTGATCTTCTGAGTTCTGCTCTTTGTATTACATCATCAACTCATCTTATCTCATGTGCACCCAAATTTTAAAATTTTGATCTCTTATCTAATTACGTAACTATTACTAATTTTCTTTTGTTACCACCCCAACAACACAACTGTTAAATAATTTTTTCAAGAAACTTCTCTCTAACAAGATATATATATATATATATATATATATATATATGTCGTAACACTTCAGGCACCCTGTAAATCGCGAAGCCTTATTTTTCTCTGACGCTCTGACAATATGCTTGCTAATGGACAAAAGTTCGTTAAAATTGTACGCAGCTGATGAGAACCAACGAAATAAAATGGATCCAGATTATTTTGAGCCAATGTTTCTTCTTTGTTCAAATTTATAAAAGGGAATCATTGTACTAAACACATGGATTGGATGTGCTGCCTTGAACACTCCAATGAGTATTATTATTGTTTTACTGCATATTTGCTCCCACACCATCCGTTTTTAGAAATTTATCATAGATGGATTTCTTGTGTTCTAATAAGAACATGGTTGTAACAATAATTTCGCCACCACACTGTTTCTTTACATAATATTAAATTGTTCTTGGGATAGCTATGTGTATTTCAACCTTAATTGTTGGTGGAATTTAAAGGCTTGTAGAGGGTAGTTTTGAGGCTAAGTTGTTTCCAGCCCACTGTATGTTTTATCTACTTTCGGTTTTTATGAACACCCTAACGATCTACAGTTCTCAGTGTACTCTTTTCAGTCTTATCAATGGATATGTGTGTGATCGGTTGTGTAAATAGTATACTGCTTTTTCAGTATTTTATGGGTGACACGCATCACAGCTGTTGACTTAAAGAAAAAAATTTTGTTTCAGCTGTAATGTTCACTTAAAATATATTGTCTGACTATCGATTTCTGTAGCTTTTCCACTTTGTGTTGCTAAGGTAAGTGATACTTAATTATGCTTTTCGTTTCTTTAAAATCTTTGATTCTGCCTCTGGTGTAAGAAATTATGTGGTATTCTATTCACAGGTTTTGTGTGCTGTTATGATGTGAATTGTAGTCTGTTTCCAACATTTCGGGTTTCAAAATATATTTTGTCTAAAGCTTGAAATATATGTGTTATCTAACATATCGTTTGAATTTTTGCATCATTTTAATTACTTCAGTATCTTCTTGAAACCGAGGATAAAAAAGCTGGTTGTAGTGGTAAACATCGAAGAAAAATTGAACTGGCACACTGGATGACTTCTAACCTTAATTGATTGGTTCATTAAAATGTCACCTGTTGAACGGCAAAGTGACTCAGATATCTCTGCCTTGTACAACCTAAAGTCAAAGACTGGAGAACATTTTACCTTTAAAGTATGGAATTTAGATATGAATTTCATTACCCAACAATTTTAGTGTTCTGTCCTTAGTATAGCGTTGGAGTCAATTATTAATAGACTTGGTAAGGAGAGCGAAGGACGTTTAATTACTGTAATCGGTGACTGCAGCAGACAGGATCCGGAGTTTCTTTTCAAGGTAACTTACCATCCTCATTTCATGCATCTTAGATCGCATTTTATTGTCACAAACATTTAAACATCCAAAAGATAACTAATTTGTTATTTTCAAGTGCCTGCCTCTATGCAGAGTGTCGGGTTTTCCTTACGAAGTATTTTGACGCGTGCATTAGTTCACCAATGGATTGGATAAAGGTTGTCGAATACTATGCAGTAGGTTTTCATCATATGTTAACCCTTTCTGAAGTTATTAAGTAATGATTTCAGTCTTAATAAAATGCCGAATGCATTAAAAAGATGTATGATCTCAAAGTTTACTAAATTTAGTCCGTACGACCTAGGTAAGATTGGATTCACTTAACATTTTTGTAGCACAATGCAGGCGCAAAATCAGAGCTGAATGTGCTTCTGAGTGCGAGGTAATTTGTTTGACAGCCCTTACCTTCTTTAGATGGGTTCAAAAACTGCAGGTGATAAAGCAGTGGATTACCGCTATGGAAATTTTCTATCAGTACAGGGAGACAAATCTGCGAACATTTTCACTTTGAAAGACATCGTCCGCAAACTACATATACGGAAACCTGCATTCAGCGTCATGTGCATTCTTGAAAAGAAGTATCCCTCAAATTTTGATGATTTTATACATACGAATTTGGATGGTGACTGGGATGCTTCGAAGGCTGGATTACGTATGAAACTTCCTAACCACCCAAAATCAGCTCTTAAAAATGTTAGTACTTGGAGGAATCTTATAGGTAAGTTTCCTTATATCAGGATACAAATGTGGACTTTCATAAATGATTCCATTTGTTGGGATATCTAAGACGTTAAAGTTGTAGATATGTTTTGGCAATTGGTCGCGAGAAACTCTAATCTAGTACAGCCAAACGAAGAGTTCTTAATATAAGTTTCTGCGTGCAATTCGTATGTGGAAATGCAGTGTGTTAGTTGGAAATCTACATACATTGTGTTTGCTGTAACTTGTTCTTGTGGTTCTTACTTTACACTGATCCTCACTGCTACATTTAGCATTTCGTAGAATATCCGTTTTACACTAACTGTTTCTGTAGGTGATACTTCGTGTCACCTTATTCGTGTCTGGAATTGTTTACATGATAAGCCATCTGCATGTAAAACTTTGGCTCATAATTCCAAATCACTTATTCAAGTTCGCGATAATCTGATAGGGATATTTGGAGCAACTGTTTTGTGCTATAAGGACTTTGCGTCTTGACCGTTAGAGAACATTGATGTTCAGAATAATGTGAAATTATTTTTGCATCGACAAGTATGCTGCATCAATGATGCTGTAGTCACACTTTGATAATATATCAAACGGTCTCAGTAAAGGTAAGATAGTTTTTCTGAACCCATAATGGAAGATTTATTGGGAAGCCAATCTTCATAGGAACCATTAAATTATATGGTTTTTGTTTTTGTTAAGGTGTTCATTCCAGGGAATGACGTTTCAAGCCTTTTTATATTTTGAATATTTTTCCTATGAAAAACAAGGTTTTTAGCTATGGCTGATGAGTAAAATATCTACACAACTTAGTGGGAGTGGCTGTTGAACATAAAGGAATTGATGTCAACCACCTATTAAAAAAAAGCTGTTAGTTGGCGACTTATTTCCTCACTATTCTTAAATACTACTCATTGTCTGATGAACCTACCGTAGCTTTGTTAAGCTGGTTATATGTTTTCATGTTAAAATTTATTACATAGAAAGAAAAGCGTATTCATTCAGCGATATAACCATTATTTTCCCCAAGCATTAGTTCGTAGGGATTTGAATAATGTCGAGCTTGACCACAAAATGACTTCAGTTAGAGAACCGCTGAAAAATAGGCATTACTGGAGGACTGTTTCGTCCTCGTCTAGACTCTTCATCAATATACGCACGTGATGATGCCGGCGATCAAACCCGGAGGTCCTGACCTTCGGATTACAAGAGAGGCTTGTTGACCGTCCATCTACTAAGATGAGATCCAATAGCTGAGCCACCTAAATTCTGTCAATTCACAGTACTTTCAGTAGTTTTTAATTTTCACTCAGTCTACTTTTTTGTTGGCAAGGTTGTCTGTAGTAGTTGTCTTCTGATACAGAAAATGGCTGGTAATCCATTGTTTACCCATTCAAATACTGTAGCAACCCAAATCTTCATTTCATCTTTAATTGCATCTTCTCCATGTTTTTCGGAATTTATCATCCACTGTAATTTATTCTACACAGTAAAGTTTAATTAATATCTTACCGATTTATAGAGACCTATTTACATGACTTTTCTAGGTAATTTTAACCAAGTTCGTATTGCCCTTGAATCGAGTTACTTTGCCCGTTTTTCTAGTTTTCAAGATGCCAAACATTCAGACTTAAGCCTTAAACCCAAGCTTCCCACTTACCTTCACTCATCTGCAAAGTGAATCGAGAACGTTAAGCAACATTTTTTTTTCGTATAACATATGAACCATTGCATTCAGGCTTTCCGCGCAAATTTACTTACTTTCTACACTATCCAATCTTGTTGAGGTTAGTTATCTTACGTGAATGAATTTTTTTTCTCCCATTTAAGTAAATCTGTAGCTTATGGGAGTATATTTTTCAATCATTTTGTAGTTGCTTCCCCTTATTTATGCTTATTTAGCCTGTGGAGAGCTTGGACATGAAATAATTCTACAAAACATAGAAAGTATATTAGATTCACACCTTTCTGAAGCAGAACATGAAATTATTCTCCAGATTTTGTCAAAACAAGTGAGTTTTTTCTTATCGAAAGACTGTCTATGGGTTGTAATTTTCTCATTTCATTACTATTTAGTATGTCTCTTTGGTTTTTGTTAGCAGTTGTTTTCTTGCGTAATTACTATTCTGTTAACCACTTGTGCCTTACGGCAACTACTTAGTCAGCATTAAAGGTCGGGGGAATAAATTTCAAAATAAGTTTTCGAAATATAATCAAATGAATCATAGTGACACATTTTAAGAGATCATTTGAAATACCAATAAACAATCCAGGTATATTTTTGTATTGCTCTGTTTTTTTACTAAATTTTTACTCAACTCAAAAGTTTGAATTTTCCAGATATACCATCAAATAGTAGACAGATTTTATAGATTGGTTTAATAGATGAACGATAATTCTAGTGATTCATGTGGCCTGAATTGAGAATCGACAAAAGATCGATACACCTGTTATATATTGTTAGCCAGAAGTTGGTTATTCTCGACACATTTTCTATTTCTGTATTTGTATTGTTTGGAGGGGTTATGAATATACTCAATCATTAAGGGTGAAGTAGTGGTTAATAATAATAATAATTTTTTCTTCATGTTCCCAGTGGAACATTGGGCTTCAAGCTAGTGACTTGAAGTTTCTGTAGCAGTGTTTAATTTTACAGGATGAGGTTGCTAGCCTCATGCCCAACCTTTCCTCTTTATCAGCATTACTTCTGGCTTAGTGAGGTAAAGGAGTGCGTCGGCCGGGTATCGAACCCCGACCGTGTGTATGGTCGGCGAGCGTCTTAACCGCTATGCTACCGACGTGGTTAGTTGGATTTAAATCCCGGGGTCTATTGGATTAAAGTTCAGTGATTAAGACAATAAGAAACTTCTCCATCATGATCTAAATAGTATAGTCCTACAGTGTTTTACTTTTTAATCCACCAAATTTTGATTAGTGCAATCGTAATTACCAAAACATGCAAGTGATTCATGCACATTTATAATATATGTGTAAATAATTATCTATAGAATGAGGTTAAATGAATTCGGAATTTTACAGGTAGATGTACCTGTCCATTCTTCACATGACAATTTCTATTTTCTTAGTTTATCACGTAATAATTTCAATATATATATATTTCACTTGAGATATTCACTAATCTGTCATTTTGTGGGATTAGCATGAATCTTTTGGCTATTTAGTGTTCACCAAAGCTTTGCGTTCTTCAATAGACTAAAGATTTCGTTTTATTATCAAGATTAATAATACACAAGGTATATGACTATTTACGATTGAGATGTGGATTTTATTAGTCATAACTAAATTAATTTGTTGAAATTACTGTTTGAATTCCCTGTTGATAGATTTTAGTGGACAGAAATGCTCGGCCTATGTTGCCATGCCGACTCCTATTATGGACGCTTGAGTGTTGTATTGAGGATAACACTATGCTATTTGGCAGATACATCTAGCTGGTGAGTCCCATAAAAGATGAAATGTGTCCCCTAGGTTCGATTGATAGTCACCATCAATCCAAATAGCATCATGTCAATTTTCAGACACCGTTGGAGAGTCCCATTGGGATTTATGCATTCCATCCAGCTTGTGTGTTGCATTTTTGATTGTTGTGGCAGTTGTTCGTCGTTGCTAAGTAATTGCTCCATGGTTTCTTTTCCTAGTTTTTGTCCGATGGATGTATATAATGCTGTCACGTCGAATGATACCATTATTTCTTGTTCATCTATTTGGATGTCTCTGATTTTCTCTAGGAATTGGATGGCAGAGTTGATGGAGTGATCGCAAGATTCCGTTAGGTGTTTTAGTTTTCTGTATAATTCTTTGGATAAATTATATGTTGGAGTTCCTGGGAGTGATACAATTGGTCGTAATGGGATATTTGCCTTGTGTATTTTGGGTCTGCCGTAGAATCGGGGTAGGACTGGTCCATTGGATTTCATTCGCCATTGGTCTTGTTTTGTGATCTGTCCAGTTTTGGTGAGCTTGTTTAAGGTCCTTTGGATGCGGTTATCCAATGTTTGTATGGGATTTGTTGGGAGTTGTTGATATACATCTTCATCTTTGAGTAGTTCTTCAGCTTTCTTGGTATATTCTTCTCTGTCCATGATTACTGTTGTTCTTCCTTTGTCGGCTGGTAAAATGACGATGTCCTTCCTATTTTTCAGCTTTTTGAGGGCCTTTAGTTCTTGAGCGTTGAGTTGTGTGTGTTGTCTTTTCTGTTTGACCATTGGTACAATTGTTTGGCGTATCTCTTCCTGTGTTTCCTCGTTTAAGTTTGATGATTTGAGTAATGATTCAAAGGCAGCGAAGAAATCAGTTTTTGAAGCATCTCCGGTGTTGTAGTTTAATCCTTTTTGTAGTAGTTGTTGTTCCATTTTTGATAGTGGTTGTTTTGATAGGTTGACCGTTGGAGAGTCCTTGCTAGAAGCCGACATGTTAACCGAAACTGACCATTTCGGTCCTACGTGATCAATGAACAAGAAATGCAAGTTAACCTAAAACTAAGTAATAACTGGTATCTGTTGCGCAACGGGTGGCTGTTGTAGCCCAGTGGATAAGGCTTTGTCGTTTGAAAAGGTAGGTGCAGGGTTCGAGTCTCATTGGGTAAGTACATCCAACTGACGAGTCCGGAATAGGATGAAATGTCCGTTCTAGATTCCACTGGTATCCGTCAACAACCGAAAAATCACTAAATTAACTCTTAAATAGGTGAAGAGGTAAGAATTGCTTATGTTGGAAAGTGATATTTTGGTGTATTATAACACAGGAATTATAAAATGTGCATTATTCCGTTTAACCGAGGCATAGTATTCGATGGTTGGTTGTTTGAGTTGTGCCCATTATTGCGTATATGTAAAATATATAGGCGAATGTAAAGTGTAGAAACCTATCCGAATGGGCGTACTAATGCCCTAGAACACTGACCAATCATAGTCAACCAGTGGAACCAAGTGAAAGTGTGTTAAACAAAATCTAAGAATATTACACAATATAAAAGAGACAATTCAGAGAAGAAAGTTTTCTTTATGGACAAAATCATCTTCAAAGGCTGTACAGTAGTATTTATATTTACCAAAAATGTAAACTAGTCCATTGCCGAGTAGTAGGGGTAACATAATTGATTGAATTACTTAGAAGTGGCTTCAAAAGTAAAAATAAAAGTCATCAATTTCTACAGCCGAAAAGTTGTCAGTGAAGGTGTGAAGGATAAACTTCCGCTATGGACCACTTCAATGTGTGTTTATAAATTAGGTCAAAGGTGTGAATACATGAAATAATAATAGTATGAAATGCAATTAAATATGTGTGATTATAATCATAGTTTAATGTCAAGTGGAACAATAATTAATGTCATATATAGAATAATACATAAAGTGTATAGATTTTGGAAAGAGGTATATAATTATAAGATTAGTAGACGCAGATAAAATGTTACATAACATGGTGTGAAATTTGATAAGATAGAATTCAATATTGTAAAAATAAAAATAAAAAGTATGCAAATTAATAATTTTGGTTGCATGGAGGATTTAATCATGAGCTGACATCAGTTAGAGAACCACTGGAAAACCTGGGAGTACTGGACAGCTGTTTCGTCCTAGTTTGGGACTCTTCATCAGTACAGACCCACCGGGATTCGAACCCAGCACCTTCTGGTTAAGAGGCGAGCTCGTAGACCATTGAGCCACTGGGACCCGATCCAATGGTCCTTGAATTCTAACTTCTGCCAATTCACGACATAGCGCGACCACTTCGCAATGTCTTCTTCGATGAGTTACTGCCTCATCTTCGACCTGCTGTACCCTACTGGTCACGGCTTGCCACTAGAACCCCAGGTTAACTGCCTGAATAGGGCCAGTCATTAGTGAGCATCAGATTGATTTTCAAGTATTGGTTTTGTAGGGATTTTGTTTGATTGCATGGAGGATTGGATTGCATGGTGCGTATTGCTGAAGAGTCCCAAACTAGGACGAAACAGCTGTCCAGTACTCGCAGGTTTTTCAGTGGTTCTCTAACTGATGTCAGCTCATGATTAAATCCTCCATGCAATCAAACAAAATCCCTACAAAACCAATACTTGATAATAATTTTGGGTTTGAAATGTCAAGTGGGTCAAGTGGAAAAGATTCAGAGTGAGAATAGTAACAATAATAATAATAATCGAAGTAATAAGGGAAAAGTACATAGAATAACTAAATAAATAAATGTCTATCCCTCCACGGCCAAGGCAGAAGTAGGGATTGTACATACTTCTTTTCGAGTTGATCACGGATTGATATCAGTTAGAGAACCATTGAAAACCAGGGAGTACTGGACAGCTGCTGTTTCATCCTAGTTTGGGAATCATCGGAAGTACGCACTCACTGGGATTCGAACCCAGGACCTTCCGGTTACAAGGCAAGCTCGTATACCATTCAGCCACTGGGACTCGATTCAATGGCTCGAGAATTCTAACTTCTACCAATTCGTGATTTAGCGCGACCCCAACCATTGTCGTTGGTGGGACATCCATCCACACACGTGACATCTAATTGAACCTCACTGGTCACGACTTCTCACTAGAACTCAGGAAACTCCAACCTGTAGCAAGTCACTAGCGAGCATCAGATTAACTTTCTATAGTTTGGTTTGTAAGGATTAGTTATGTTTTCGAGGTCCTGGGTTCGAATCCCAGTGGGTGCGTACTGCCGATGATTCCCAAACCAGGATGAAATAGCAGCTGTCCAGTACTCCCTGGTTTTCAATGGTTCTCTAACTGATATCAATCCGTGATCAACTCGAAAACATAACTAATCCTTACAAACCAAACCATACTTCTTTTGTACACAAAAGTCTGGCTTAAAGTCATGAATTGCCAAGGCCTCAGCTGTCTTTAGAAGTCTGTCACGAAGAAAACGCGGGAAGTTAGAATGGATTCTATATATGATCTTGAAATCATGGTCAGGGTTGACCGAGTGACAGAAGTCGATCAGGTGTTCCAGAATGGAGCTTCGCACATACTTCCTTTCTCCCTTGTAAAACCAAGCTGGAATATGTTCTCGTATCCGTATGGAGAGCGTTCTCTGACTACGGCCAATGTACCTTGCTCCATAAGAGCAGGTAAACTGGTAGATGCACATGGAGGCGGTCAGATGGGGGAGCTTATCTTGTACAGAGGTAGAGAACAATTTGTGACTCGTGAACGTCATATGTAATTTTGCTACTGGGAACGTCTTACTGACTGATTTAGAGAGACGATTTTTGAGCATATCTGAAGCTTGATCACCTTTGAATTCTAAGTTCATGAATAAGGTTTTCTTTGGAACTGAGTCAGTGACCAGTTTAGACTGCTTACCTTTCATGTTACTGTCAATAAATCGGTTAGGGTAACCGTTTTCTGCGAGTGTGGCTTTTAAGAAGTCAAGTTCTGAGTCAAAGCAATCAGAACTACAAATTTCCCTGATCCTAAAGCATAGTGAATGAATTAAGTTCCTTTTCCTAGAAATAGGCACCCAACTGTAAAAATCAGTTAGTTGTCCGTTTCATGTACGTTTCCGGTGGATAGATCTTTTGAGAGATCCGTCACTACGTCTGCTAAGGCACACGTCAAGAAACGGAATACTTAGTTCAGATTCCTTTTCTATGGTGAATTGTAAAGAAGGATGGCAGTTGTTGAAAGCAAACAAGACATCATCAAGAATTACGTTATTATCGCAGATGATGAAAGGGTCGTTTACGTATCTTTTATAAATGTCAAAATGACAGATGAGACATTAAACTCTTTAATGCTATCAATAAATTTAAACGTATCATCAATGGAAAACTTAGATACTTGCCTTCTGACTGGTTCCAGTATTTCGGCTAGCCATTGAGCCATTCCGTGATAAGGAGAGCCCGCTATATCGAGGATTGGACGGAGGGGTAATCTTGTCTTATGTATTTTCGGTAGTCCATACAAGTGTGGTATAATGGAGCGTACTGGTCGGATGCGTTCATATATTTCTGACGAGATTACTGACTTTTTCCTTATGTTCTTTAGGACATCAGTCAGTTGATTTTAAATTAGATGTGTCTTGTTCTTTTCACCATCGGGTTTGGCGAATTTCTTTTGGTCAGAAAGGATGGCTGAGATTTTATCATTATAATCTTGGCGATTCATAACTACAACACCCCCACCTTTGTCTGGACGGCATATGATAATATCATCATTCTTCTCCAGTTCTTTGAATTGGTCTATATGCTCTTTAGTCAGAAGATTATTAGAGCTAGGTTTTGAACTACTAAACTGATGACAGCAATCAAGAACTGTGGATTTAAAGTGTTGGAATTCCTCAAGTAATGTGGGTGTGAGATGATTTTGTCGATAAAGAAAATTTTTTTCTCTGAATTGTTTTTTATTTTCTTCCTGACTCAATGGTTATTTTCGGTGATTAGACAGGATGCTATTTTTTGTCGAAATATTGGGAGTATAATAGTCATTATCTCTCAGGTGTGTCGGTATCCTTCCAAGTGACTATCGCTGGGAATCAGCAGTTAGATTTAGCTATGGGTTTGGTTGAATTGCGGTTAACTTAAATTTGGGGCTAGGGATTGTTAGTTAGGCTTTAAGCTCCAGATGTAATCTTTTGCATATGTCTTCACCACCATTCATTATTCGTACTTATGAACAGGACTTCTCTTTTTTTGCCGTATCTGGTTGGTTTTAGGTTTTTGGTGTGCTTATTTGGTTGGTTGCCTATAATTTATCTTCTTCTGAAATGATTTTCCTTGTTGGATACGGTAACATAACAACTGATCCATTTAATTATTGTATATCCTTATAATTATCGACCTATCAATTTATTACGCATTAATTCTGTAGGATTAAGTATTTGCCAGACAGTATTACAGTGTTATTGAAAAATTGTAACATTCTTATGAATATAATTTTGCGAAAAATAAGTATAGAGTTAGGCTGTGGGTATTTGCTGAACCAATAAATATAATATAATTAGTCATGAGGTGGACGTTGAAAAGTCGTTCAAAATTATCAATAAGCAAAATAGCTCAATTCTCCTTAAATTCGCTGAAGCCATTTCCATCAAGCGCCTGAAACCTGATTTATGCGTCCAGAAAGAAGCGGTTATCAGCCTTTCTTTGCCCTGGTAACTGGATAATTTCACCTCTCTTTCCTCCGAATGTGAAATGCTAAAAGTTTCCATTGTGTTTGATTATTATTGTTCGGAATAGTGGTTAATATTGCATATTTATATATGTATATATTTTTAGTGTATGAGTATATTGATCGATTGATTTTTGTTTAAACTTAATTCTGTGCAAGTACGTTAAAATTGTTGTTGTAGATATATTTAATAATGTCTTTGCCATGTAAGCAGCTGACGAGAAGGCAACGAAATAAAAGATGGTACCATTTTATTCTGCTAAAACTGTAGTTCTTGCATTGTTCAAATTATCTAGCACATGATTTTTTTTACTCTGACCTGTGTTTTGTTTATTTTTGAACAAAGCGATAACATCAACGCATGGAGCAAGATGAAATGGACTCATTGTTCATTTCTTCAGTCAGTTGCGCTTACAGGGTGAATAATAAATGTTAATAGTTCTTATTAAAGTTTTAACTTAGTTTAGTTCATCGGAGAGATAAAATGTGGAACGATAGTTAAGAATGATCATGGTATATAGATGAATCGAGATGTTAATTGATAATACTATTGTACTTACATGCGTATTGTGATCGAAGTTTCTTGATTGGTACAAACTGTGGGGAGCAATGGTAGCCGTAAGATGTTGAACCACATAAATTATAAGATTACGTAAGTCAGTCGGAATGTGTTAATACAAGAAATGAGATGTGCAAGAAATATTGTCAGTTAATTTCATTTAGTTAGATAACATATATAAAGCATTGCGCCTAACCGATAATCAGCATTTACACTCAATAAAAGATGATGCTATCAATTTAGGTTAAAAGACAATCAAAACTACTGCTTTTTTATAAGTAATTAAGGTTTAAACCGTTCGACAGCAATGATCTTTGCTAACGTCAACAGACTTGAGCCGAACTATTTGTTATTTTACTCAATTAACATTTCGATTCATCTATATACCATGATCATTCTTAATTATTGTTCCACATTTTATCTCTCCAATGAAATAAACTAGGTTTAAACTGTAATAAGAGCAATTAACATTTATTATTCACCCTGTAAGCGCAGCTGACTGAAGAAATGAACAATGAGTCCATTTCATCTTACTCCATGCGTTGATGTTATCACGTTTTTCAAATTCACTAAGGGGGAATTTGTGTATGAAATTTTATGGTTATTATTATTATTATCCTAAGGTGGCCTGCTTAAATTAATCACTGGGTTGACAGAATTCGCGTCCATCAAAATGCTTAAACTTCTCTGCATTTCTTATTGTTTTAATCCTGCAATTATATCATATAAACGCTATGTGAACTCGCGTGCCTATTTAATTGACTTCCTTTACTAGAAGCTATGCAATTCTTGAAATAAATGAACAAAAAGCTTTCAGAATTGTTTTTTTCTCATTTACAGCAACGCTATGCCATTTGATAAACTTCAAATCATTACTTTATGAATAAACCCTATTTTAAGAGGGAATATTTTGGCAGTAAATGCGCTGAAAATTTCTGTAATATATGTTCACATATTGTTTGAAATAAAGCTTTATTATTATTATTACTCTAACACATGCAGTTTTATTAATCACGCATGATTTCATTTTATAATTTTCAGGAATCGGTCATCGAAGGGAGACAGCTACCAATAGCTTATCTTAAGGCATATATATCTGTCGAAAAGTTGAAAGATAAATTTTCGCTGAACACTTACCTACAAGAGTTGAAAAGTAAGTAACATGAAATGTGAAAAGTGATATCTTTTTTTGCAGTCGAATTTACATTTTCTTGAAATTGTTTATTCACTTTTATGATCAACCGCGTTTCGGTATATGGGTTACTTAAACAGATGTCTATATCTAACCAGGATTAATAACTAAAGGCTATTTTTTTGATGATGTGTAGCCAGTAGAATCCCATACCCCTGTTTCGTCCAGTTTAAGACTCATCATGTGGAAATATTTGTTCCCTAATGAGTGGTGGTATTCCCAGTGAGACTCGGATTCAGCACCCTTTTTTCATACATCACTGTTTTCGCCACTTCTTTTATTAGATAAGTAATGCGGAAGCCTAAAACTTGTAACTGTGATTTTGGCAGATTGTTGTAATAGTTTTGTTTCTAATGGATTTACGACATGTATGTGTCATTTTCACTGCTTTTTAACAATGAAAAACCCTTCGACAAGACAAACATATATTGGACTAACAAAAGGACCCTAGAAGACCTGAACTTTGCAGATGATTTGTTTCTCATGTCACGCAAACTGGAAAACCTACAAGTGAAAACCGTAAAGTTATCAGAAGAGGTGGCGAACGAAGCATTTCAAGTGAACATAGAGGTGACAGAGATGAAGAGGATGCCCAACCGATGACAACAAACACCGGTCACCATCAACTGGAGAAATTTCAGGGAAGCTGTCTCTCATTAACCTGGATATCATCGTTTCAACTACAGGTGGTAAGGGTGAGGATATCAAAATCAGGATGGGAAAAGCAAGACAGACCTTTATTACACTGAAAGCAGCATAAAAGTCAGTTGGACTCAGAATAAGGAAGCAACACTTGAATTTCCAACAATATTATGAAATCAGGGCTTGTATATGGTTCGGAAGCCTGATAAACGCGTCACCAAAAACATCTTCAATAGACTGTAAACTTTCGTCAAAAGCTGCCTTCGCTCCATACTGAAGATTGGTTTGTTGGTCAGAGGCGATAAGTAGCAAGGAACTCAGGCAGCCAACTTGTTGCCCAATACATAAGCACAACAAAATGGAAATGAAATGGAGGCATTCTGAGAAGACCTTCAGGTAAAATCACACACCAATTCCTTGACGGACAATACAATAGGAAAAGAGGTTGGGCGTCTGAAAGTGAGGTGAAGATTATTTGAAGGGAAGAAAGCACAAGGACGGTCTCGGAGCCATCTGATAATGGCTGCACAGGATCTAACGAAATGAACATGTTCTGACAAAGCCCTATGTTGCACTCCGAATGGAAGGAACAAATTAGAATTTGTTCCACTTTTGTAACCATCCCACTTACTCGATTGTTTTTGTTTATATCGGATCGATCTCTCAATTAACAAATTTTAGTTCGCCATTTAGTATAGCAGTCATTCTGTTTACATAGTTACTTCTTTCGAGGGTGATTATTACTGTACTTATTTATTAGGTTTCAAAATTATCGATTTTTCATTCTGTATAAGCATATTAGTAGCCCTTTGGTGTTTTCATTTTGTTGAAATGGCTTTAAAAGTTATATTGCCAGTGTTAATAGACTTGTTTGAACATGAAGTGTTCTTGTCATAGATTGTGCAGTAGGATTACACCAATTGTTTAATAATGTGACCTGTCAGATTACACTATTATCGACAATCAGTTGAAACTGGTCACAAGTTACTTTTTCTAACTGGTATCATGAAAAGTGCGACAGTAAGATTGTCAGACACACAGTGGGAAGCGAAAAAAATGCTTCAGTCTGCTGGATAGCTTTTGCAATCAGTGTACTAGTAGTATTTCTGTTATGTGCAGGTTTAAGTATATGTAATATATTATACATATTGGTC